TTTTTTATCAAAGTAGAGGGAGCTAGTTGAGGTTTTAACCTATAATAATAAAATAATAATACCATAAGTTATAAAAATAAATATTAGATTTACCAAAAAATAAATATCAGAGGAATGCAATGTGCACTCTAGATATTATTGGTCCCTTCTTTTCTTTCTTCCTTTTTTTTTTTTTATTATTATTATAAAGGAGGAGATGATAAGCCCGAGTGGTAGCAGCACTCGGCAAACATGTCCCAAAATGTTAAAACAGAGAATTTTCACAAGTTAGCAGCTGTAATTGGAAATTTCACTCGGATAAAAATAAGATAATTTAGAGATTAAATCAAACTCAATAGGGCGGCCAGAAAAAATGGTCAAAACTCAAGGGCTCTCCTAAAAACACAGAAATCATGAGAAAACGCGTTTGATTATGAGCTCACCGCTGGCAGGATTAAATATTGCTTCAACTACTGCGGAAACTGATTCAGATGTGCATTCGGATCTTTGTATTCCAACTGCTACAGGCTTAGCCAAAAGCTTAACCCCCTGCTTCCAATATCTGTGATCTGCAGTAAACAATTTTTATCCGGTTTAAAGCCAATTGTCGTCCCTCTACTTTAATATTTTATTCGTTTTTGTCCCTCTACTAAGGACATGTTCGTTGTCATCCCTCTATTCTAACAAAGAGCCAAAATGTCGTCCCTCTACTTCGCTTTTTTTGTTCGTTGTCGTCCCTCCCCTAACACCATTCATGTTGCCATCACTACTGACCGTTAAGTCCTAAACGGTCAGCAGTTAAACCCATTTGTTCTTTTTTTTGTTTCCACGTGTGCTGCCATGTGCAAGAATGGGACCACTTTGCCCACTTTGCCTCCTTGCTAACTCAGGCCCCATACTTTCATTTTTTTATTTTTTTGTTGCAGAGATGCCATACTTTCTTTTATTTTTTTGTTGCCACGATGCCAACAAAAACATCTACGAAAAAAATAAGCCAAGCGGAGAAATCATTATTTAAATAACTTAAAATAATAAATTTAATTAAATACGTATAATTTTTTAGATTTGAATTAAGAAATATTAAAAAAAATAATATAAGATAAATTTATCAAATATGATAATAAAAGGGAACTCAATTTTAAACTAAATTTACTATAAAATAAATGTTAAATATAATTTAAATAAATATAAGATAAAGTA